TCTCTGCCATGGCCACCCATTCCTCACCCGCCACCATCCTCGATCAACTCCCAAGTTCTCATGATACTCAGGGTTTGCCTCTTCACTCTTCTGTAACGTTCCCTTGGGTGAGCTCACCCACCTGGTTGTTGAACACCTGGGTGCTCAGCCTCTGGTCCCTTTGAGAGCCAGCCCTGTTTCAGGACATGTCCACTTGATGCCCCCAGACACCCAAAGCTCCATGTGCCCCAGGCCAGAGTGTTCCAGGAAGCCCTTCTCAGTGATCTGGGAGCCTAGGTGTTGCTTTGACTTTCCTATCTCACCAATGTGTTGGGGACCTGTCCCCTTCTTTCTCCCCACTGTTACCGCCTCTAGCAGTTGAAGCCATTGTCACCTCTCCCTGCCTCCATCCAGGCCACTTGACCTAAATGAATCTGTGCGCCACTCGCAAGACCCTGGATGGTCTAGCCCTGCCTCCAGCCTCGTTGCTTCTCCTCCGCCCCCAGATGTGGCTATCTCTGGAGGTTAGGAGATTCACAAGAGTTTGCCTATGCGGTTTTGCACAAGCCCAGAGCACTCCCAGACCCCTCTCCTCCTCGTCCAGTCTCTGCCATGCTGGATAACTGGGTCTCAGCTTGACGTGTAGCTTCTTCCAGGAAGCCCTCCCGGATGCTCTACCCCTCCAGATGAGGTTGGGTACCCTGTAACAAGGTCTCACTGTACCTCAGCTGAGCTCATGCTACACTGACTACTTCCTTGCACCAAGGACCAGGAGGCCTGGTTCTCGGCCTGGCACTTACAGGCTCCCTATTGGCTGGATGAACGAATGAGAGCTGGGGAGTGAGATGGGATGAATGTGTTTGTTCTCAGGGTGGAGATGGTTCAACAATAGGGAGATGAGGATTATGAAATAGGACAAGAGAATGGGTTGGGCAAGACCAGGGACCCCAAGCCCTTGTCCGTGACCTGCTGTCCCTGGCAGCCATCAAGAGACCTGCTAACGTCTCATGCAGGACTGGCCCAGGCCCAGCACAGCCCCTCCCCCCAAGGAGAGTCACCACAGGCGTGTACAGGTCGGTTTATTTACAAATATACTGATGTCTCATTTTTGTCGTTTCCATTTTCTGCTTTTGTGGAAAGAGCGGAAGGTGCGAGTGGAGGGCAGGGTGGGGTGGTAATGTGGTAAACGCTAATAAATAATTTAACAATGACAAGTTATTAAATAAAATGTGTCTGGGGCTGGTGGGTGGGCAGTGAGAGTCTGTACAAGGAAAACAGGAAAGGCCGGTGCCCAGTCCCCACCCAGCGAGGCTGGGCTCCTGGGAGAACCCCAGTGGGGTGGGGGCACCAGCAAAGAGGCTCATTGGAAACGGCACCTCCCGAGGGCCAGAGGCTGGAGGGTCCTCCTGCTCCCCCGCCCCCGGGCTGTGCGCGCCGGGGTGTGAGTCTGTGTGCCTCCGTGTGCGTCTGGGTGTGAGTGTGTGTCTATGTGCGTGGGTGTGAGTGTGGACCCCTTCTCCACAGGGCGAAGCGAGCCCAGAGCCGTGGGTTCTCCCAGATGGGAGGTGCGATCCTCATCCCGGTGGTGCCAGGGTCAGGCTGGGGCGAGGCAGGGCGAGGCCGGTTCTCCCTCCTCCAAGGTTCGTGTGTGAAATGAGAGAGGGGTGGCCAGGCAGGTGAGCCCCCTAGAGGAGAACAGGCTGCTCCGACCCCGTGCTGGGGCCTGGCCCTGCTCGGCCCTGCGCACCTGGACGGTGGCCCCTCCTCCAGAAAGCCTCCCAGATGCGCAGCCACTTGCACTGACCCATTCTCTTACAGGCCCAGCGATCCCTGTCTGACCCTCGGAACCAGTGTGCCCCTCTGTCCATGGAGAAGGCCGCCGAGGCTCTGGCTGGTGGCACAGCCCACCCTCTGGTCCCTCCTCTGCCCTCACTCACTGTTACCTGGGGCGGACGCCCTCTCTCCGAGTCTCCCTGCCCTAGCGGTCCCCTCCCGGCCTGCCACTCACCCTGCCTCTTCCTCCAGGGACCACTCTCTCACCGTCTCTCTCCCTGGGGCGTCCCCTCCCCCCGCCCCACAGCCCTGATGGCCCCTCATCCGGAGGGGAGGGGGTCCTGGCTACGCACCCCCCTCCAGTCAAGGCTGCACTTCCTCCCTTGAAGGGGGAGAAGCCTGCTGCTCTCGGCTCGCCCCAGGCCCCAGGGGGCCTGCCCGCTCTGTGTGCCCCTGGGGGTGACCCTGAACACCTGCCTCCCTTCTCTGGGCCTCGGGTTCCTCGTCTGAGAAATGGGCCCTCAACAAGGTCGGGGGCGGAGTGCATGTCTGTCCTTCTAGGAGACAGCCCCCCACGGGCAGGCACTACATCTGGGTCATCTGGGTCCCCACACGCAGCCCAGGGCTGGGCAGAGGGGCCTCAGAGCCCGAGAGCCTGGGGGGGCAGTGAGCCTCAGCAGTGAAGGGGTCACCTAACCACAGCTGAGGGGTGACTCAGGCGTGAGGGGCTCTCCGAGGTCCCTTCTGGCTTTGACAATCTGTGGGTCGTGAGCGTGGGTGTCCCTGTACCAGCCCCTGGCAGAGGGCAGAGCTGGGGCTGCTTCGGGGTTTGTGGGGCGCCGCAGTGGCAAGAGTGACTTAGCCGAGTCATGCCCCCACCCCGAGGTCAGTCACCAGGTAGGGAGGGTGCAGGGCGGCACGGGGTCCCTGTTCTCAGCTCAAGCTCTGTCACTGACTGGCTGGCACAGGGTTGGTCGGTCCCCTCCCCTCTCCTGGCCCAGATTTTCCTGCTGCCAAGTAAGGGCGGTGGTAGACTAGATGACCCATTCCTGAGGTTCTTTCCAACTCAGAGTGTGGGCGGGTGGCCAGGTCTCCTGGGGACTGGGGCCTCCACCCGGCCCTGCCCAGGTGCCCCGCGGTGGCTGGACCGTGCGAAAGGAGAAAGGGCAGCATCTCCCGGGAAAGCAGGGCTGCTCGGGACCAGGAGATGGGGAAGCGGAAGCTGCCGAGGGCCAAGGGCACCCACTGGGATCCCTGTGGGCGTGCTGTGTGGCACGAGAGCCCAGAGGGCCGGCTGGCCGCTTGGCCCCAGGCTGACGCTGGGCCTCGTCCCCCTCTGGTGGTGCCCTGGCGAAGGGCAGAATGAGGTCTGAGCACAGCAGCTAGGAGGGGTGGGGAGATGAGCCCAGGTCGCGCCAGAGGGACTCAGGTTGCTCCAGCGGGCAGAGGAGCCAACGCTGAACAGGTTGGCGAACTTTGCGGATCCCAGTGAGGGCCAAGCAGAGGGGCCCAAAGGCGGAGTCAGACATCGTCCCATTTGCTCAAAGGCTGGACAGGCAGACCTCAGGCGGCAGCCGAGGGCTCCGAGTTAGAATTAAAGGCAGGGCTGTGAGCACCTGGCTGAGGACATAGTGACCTCCAGGGGTCACTGAGAGCCAGGCCCATTAGCCTGACCTCACTTCCTCTTTGGCAGGGTTCGAGTTAAGTGAAGGGGGGAGGAGGGCTGACAGAGCTATCTGCCTTCCAGCAGTGTGCAGAACAGGACCGGATGCAGTGGAATGCATCACCCGAGGCGGATGGTTAACGGGCCAACGCCAAACAGGGAGAGGCCCGAGGGTCCACCTGCCTTGGGTGAAAGGCACAGGGCCGACCACCCCGTCCGCACACACAGAAGAGCTGTGGCTTAGCTGTCACGTGTGTGGTGGTCAGGGGATTCACTTACAGAAGAGCAGGGTGAGTTTCCAAGGTTATGTGGCCTAAACCATTAACTGGGTCTCGGGCACATTAACAGAGGCAGGGCACCTGAAGCGGGGAGGTGATGGGCCTGCTCACTTTGGCTGGCTGATGTCAGTGGGAAGATTGGGTTGCATGTACTCCACGCCTTGAGAGGGAAAGCTGGAGCCCTGCTGTGGGTACAGTTCCAAGAGGAAGAGCTGAAGAAACCGGAAAGCCTGGCTTTGAGAAGCAAGGATTCAGGGCCGAAAAAGACAGAGGTAAAATCAGCAGAAAAGGGCAGCTGACTCGGGGCCTGATGAAGAAGTGGGCTCCTTGTCACGGGAAGTATGCAAGGAGAGGCAGGGGTGGCCTGAGGAGCCAAGCATAAGATGGAGTGCCAAGTGGGTGACTTGCGAGGTCCCTTTCCACCTGGAGGCTCCGCCGTTTTGCCCAAGTCGGCCTGGTCTGAGCACTCTGCCTCTGCCCTTGCTGCTGGTTGGCAGCTGCCCAGCCTGTTCAGGCAGCTCAGCCTCCATCTGGGTGAGGTTAGAGTGCATCTGAGTCCACCTGCTTCAGGCTCAGCCCATCCTCTCCCCTTCCTCCCCCCGTCCCTCCTTCCTCTCCTATTACTATAAGAAGAGGGGTTCCCTCCCCGTCTGGCCCCTTCCTGACCCTGCAGGGCTCTCTGCAGAGGCCTGTCTTTCAGTGTCCCTACGTCTGTGTGCATTTCTGCATTAAGTGTGCCCTTAGGTGTGTGCATCTGCACGTGCGTCTGTCCCCTCAGGCCTGCCTGGTTCCATCTACCCTCCCCCGTGACTGCCCTCTGGGCAGAGCCGTGGTGGGGCTGGCACCTGGCAGACTCCCCGCCTCTGCTCCAGGCTCTGGCTGGGAGGGGTGGTCCTCGGCGGCAGGCCTGCGGCAGAGGAGGGGAGGTGGGCAGCAGCCCAGGGCACAGGTGTACAGATCCTCGCAGGGGAGAGGCCCCGGGCAGAGCGTCGTCCCGGGCAAGCACTGGGCCTAAGCCTGGGCCTAAGCCTGGGCCGTGGAGGTTGGCTGGACACAGAGAGGATGTTTAAAAAAATAGAGAGAATTTAAGCTTCCCAAAAAAGATGGGGACAGAAGCGGCGATGGAGGCCAAGGTGGGCTGGGAGGCGAGTGGCTGTCCGAGAGCTCTGGGTCCCTGGGTGACACGGTCTCTGTGGGCAGGACACAGGCCCTGCCCGGCTGTGCTCATCTGCCTGTCTGGCTGTGCCAGTGGGCACGTTAGCCAGGCCCGGCTGGCCGGCAGGAGGGCACCGTATGGCTGTCTTAGAGTCTGTGTGGGCGGCGGGGTCGGGGTGGCGGGCTGGCCGCTGTGGCCCGCGGGCCCACCCCAGGACCCTGGCCCAAGTGTCCGCGCGGCCAGCCGGCTCTCAGGAGGCGAAGTAGGAACTCTGCATGGAGTAGAGCCGGTCGATGGGGTTCCCCACGCGGGCCTGCAGGGAGCCCACGTCGGAGGAGCCGAGGAAGCAGTCGCTGAGGCTGGTTAAGGAGGTATCGCTGTCGATGTCGTGGAAGATGGAGTCGTTCCCTGGGGGGCAGAGGCGGCGTCAGGATGGGGGTGTGGGCTGCGGCTCCTGGGGACCCTGTCGGCCCTACAGGCTGTGTGGCAGGAGGCGAGGGGAGACAGGATGACTGCCGGCAGCGTGCCTGACCCAAGGGGCTGGGGCCACAGGAAGGGTCTGGAGGGCGTCCCTGTCCCGTCAGGAGGCGGGCACGAGCCAGCCGTGTCGCCGGGGTGGGAGGTGGCTGTCATGGCCCCAGGCCTGCCAGGCAGGGAGCAGGGGTGGTGCTAGGGCAGGAGGTGGGGCAGCTTACCATAGGGGTTCATGTGGTCACCTGGCATTTGGGGTGGCGTGAGGCCCTGCTGGAAGGGGTCGCTGCTGCCGTAGGGGCTCTGCTCCATGGCCACGATCTGCTGCTGCGGTGGGGCCAGCGGTGTGTAGGAGGCCATCATGCCCTCCATGCGACTCGACAGGACCTCTGGGGGAGAGCTCGGCTTCACTGACTGGCCCGCCCGCCTCATCCTGGGAGCCCCCGAGCCCCCACGGTAACCCGCATACCCCAGGCCCAGGGCAGTCCCTCCGACCTCCAGACTTCCCCGGACACCCTCACCCTGCAGCTGAGGTTGCCTGTGGCCTTCCCGGGCCCACAGGACCACTGAGCCATTATCTGAGCCTCCCTCCCCTCCCCTCTCCTCTCCCTTCCCTCCCCCCTCCCCTCCCTCTTCTCCCCCCTTCCTTGCCTCCTCTCCCCCCTCCCTTTCCTCCCCTCCTCCCCCCTCTCCCTCCCCAGACACTCCAGCTCCTCTCCCAGAACCAGTTTATCAGAAGCTGGAGCCTCCCCTCCCTAAGCCCTCCCTTCCCCCCGAGGCCCTGCCCTCCAGGTGCCCACACCCTCTGGGAGACACCTAAGTAGGTGGCAATGAGTCATCCTACATCTGGACACAGGTGGGGCCCGAGCCCAGGCCAAACAGGCCCAGAAAGGCTTCCTGGAGGAAGGGACCCCAACCCCGTGTGCCTTAAAGAACCAACAGGGATTCAGCAGCCTGAGCGGGGGCAGCTCGCAGGCCAAGGGGCAATAGAGGCAGGGAGGGAGCAGGAGCCCAGTCTGTGGGCCGGAGGGTGCGCAGGGAGAAGGCGGGCATGGGGAGACACGAGCTGAAAGATGGTGTGGGGGCAGGGAGCTGAGCAGGGGCCCCCAGACCGGCTGTGGAGAAAGGCTGGGGAGCTGGACGGGGAGGTGGGAACCAGTGGGAGGAGGAAGCCAGGCAGGTCTGAGGTCCCTCTCAAGGGAGATGACATATGAGGAAGACGACAGCGAGCAGGGGCCTGAGATACGGGAACAGGAAGCAGATGCTGGATGTGGCCACTGGGTGGATGCGTGTATGGGGGACAGGAAGGGCCAGAGTTGGCTCCGGGCTCCTGGTGTGGCCACTGGGTGGATGCGTGTATGGGGGACAGGAAGGGTCAGAGATGGCTCCGGGCTCCTGGTGTGGCCACTGGGTGGATGCGTGTATGGGGGACAGGAAGGGTCAGAGATGGCTCCGGGCTCCTGGTGTGGCACTGGGTGGATGCGTGTATGGGGGACAGGAAGGGTCAGAGATGGCTCCGGGCTCCTGGTGTGGCACTGGGTGGCTGTGCCATTTGCTGAGGTTGGGTCGGAGGGGGGGGCAGGGGTGTCTGGCGCATGTGGCGGCAGGGACAGCGATGTGGAGTCCAGTGTGGCCGTGGGGAGCTTACGGGGCCTGAGGGACATTCTCTGGGAGACTGAGTCTAGGAGGCAGCACAGCTCGCGAGCCCTGTGGGAGATTCGGGCCATCGGGAGAGGGGACAGAGGGAGAGGGGGGAAGAACTGGGCCCCTCGGCCATGGCCTTAGTCCTGGCTTCAGCCTGGGACACTGACTTGGCCCCTGAAGTCCTGAGTGACGGGCCCTGGCATCTGCCCTGAAGACCCTGTTTCACTTCCGAGCAGGCAGCCCTGGGCGCACACCCCACTTTCCCGGTCCCAGAGTTCCCTGTGCCCCCTGAAGGCCTTGAAGGTCCCCTGTCCCCAGGAGGCCTCAGAGAGCAGCCCTGCGCTTTGGCAAAGCCCAGTGTTGGGGCGGGCAGCGCCTCACTGTCCGGCAGGGGCGCAGCCTGACTCCACACCCTGCAGACTTTCTCTGGAGTCTGCTGGCTCCTGCTGTGGGCGGCGGGGCGTATGGTCCTGGTACACACGCAGCTCAGGAGCCCCCCTCCCGGCCAGATTGTCCCATACTAACTGGGCCTTAGTCTCACTGAGCCTCAGTCTCCTCATCTGTGAAATGGGACATGACAGTGCCCGGCCTCACAGGGATGTGTGAGAATTGAGTGAGAAGGAGCATGTCGTGTGATGAGAACACACGGTGACAGTGAGTCAAGGACTGTAGTTAACATCAGAAACTCTGCCCCCGCCCCCGGCTGCCCACCCTGCCATCTCTCCTGTGCGCAGTGCTTGCTGCCTCCTCTCTACTGCATCGACCTGGGCTGCATCCAGGCCAGCAGTTCCCGAGGGAGCGCGGTCAGCCGCGGTGGGAGGCTTCTCAGGACCGGCGGAGGCCCCTGCCCCGGCCCCTGCCCCGGCCCCGGCCCCGGCCCCTGCCCCGGCCCCTGCCCTGCCTCACCTTGGCCCAGCCGCTGGGAGTTCTGCTGCTCCTGCTGCTGCTGGTGCCGCCGTGCCAGCTTCTTCATCTGCAGAAGACTCAGTTCATGCCAGTCCCCGCCCCCGCCCCGCCCGCCCTGATTCGTTCCTCACCTACCCACCCACATCAGGCCCTCTGTCGTCCGCGGCCCCCACTCCACGTCTGCCCAGTGGGGGGCTGGCCTCTCACCTTTGCTCTTTGGTTCTGAAACCAGACCTGGACCACGCGCACGCTGAGGCCGGTCTCTGCCGCCAGCGTCTCTCGGACCTGCCAGGAGAGGGGGAGGGGCAGAGGGACACAGGTCAGGCCCCGGGGAGGACTGGGGAGACGGATGCATGAGTGGGGGGGTGGAGGGATGTCCTCGCCCCAGTACGAGTGGAGGGTGGTGTCTGGAAAGGCAGCAGGTGCGGGTCAGCCCCCCACCCCACCCAGCTGCCCCTCACCTTTCGGCAGGGCTTGGAGGAGACCTCGAAGGAGGCCTTGAAGGCTCTTCGCTGCTGCGTGGTGAGGATGGTGCGGGGCCGCTTGGGTCTCCGTGGGTCCTTCCCGTCATCCCCGCTGCCCTTGCTCTGGCTGCCCTGCCCCTTGGCAGGCTTCATGTCCCCATCCTCGTCCTCACTCTTTACTGTGGGGGACAGAGCCCAGTTTATCAGCTTTGTACCCTTAGGCAACCTGCTGCGAGACGGGATCCCGTTGCCTCCTGCCTACACCTGCCATGGCTGGCCCCTGGCACCCTGGGGCCCCAATCCACAGGGCTGACCTCTGAGAGCCAGCCGGGCCCAGGGCCCAGAGAACCTTCTTCCTTGAAGCTTCCAGGGACTCAGAATGGACAGGCAAAGGCCACGCCCCAGATGTTCTCACACAGGAGTATTCATGACAAAGACAGCCACACACACACACACACACACCATGCTCACACATACAGACTGGCACATGGGCCCACCAAGGCTCGAGTGCATGCCACTCACAGACATTAACACACACACACAGGTACGTGCTCACAGACAGGATGACCTAGCGTGCACATACCTGAATAGGCACGTACACACATGTGTGCAGAACATGCATGTTCCCCCCGAGACACACCCACAACACTGTGTACAGCTGGCCACTTCCGTGCCCCAGAGTCGTGTTTCTCAGAGAGGCCCCCTGGATGGACAGCAGAGCCTCCCAGCCAGACACGTGCCCCCTGCTGTCACCATGTCTGGACTGGTCTCCTCTCTCCAGGCCTGTCTTTCTCAGAGCATGAGCCCTTGTGGGCGGGGCTGTCTCATCCCGCAAAGACCCCTTCCTGGGCCTAGTGTGGATGGGCCAATGGCACCTGGCCAGCCTCTGCTCTCCCACAGGGTGGTGCCCTGCCCAGGGGTACACAGAGGACAGATGGATGGGAGCTCGTTACCTCCACCAAGAGTCCTGGCAGTGACAAAGCCCTTCCGCCTGTGCTGATCCTGTGACCATGGGCTCCAGGTTATCCCAAAGGCCCAGCACAGAGGAGGTCATCCCTGCTCCCTGCTTGTCCTTCCACTACCCCCAGGGATGACAGGGCGCCAGCCACCTCCCTGGCTTTTCCTGCATTAAGACTCTTTCCTGGCTGGGCCTTCCTGCCAGGAGGGCTCCAAACTGGCATAATCCTTTGGAGGTCGGAGCAAAGTAGAGAGGCGCCTTCACCCTGGGAAATGGGGTCTTTCCCTCTGCCACAGAGAGCCTCAGGCTCCCCACCCATCTGGGAAATAGGGGACAGCTCAGGGCTGCTGCTCCCCGCTGCTGAAGGCTTCGGGGAGCCAAAGGCAAGAGGACACATCAGATCCCTGCCTCTCAGACATCAGCAGCCTACAGACCTGGTGCTGGTGGAGACCAAGTGGTGCTCGGCCACAGTGGGGGCAAGGCGAGAAAGAAAAAGGGAGAGTATTGTGGGCCAGAGAGCAGGGTGTGTGTATGCGCACACATGTGCAAACCACAGCACACGTGAGCACGTGGTTAAACGTGTGTATAGCCATATGCATCAGTGCTGACGGCATGTGTGTGCTGGGTCATGCATGCACATGCATGTGTGTTTGCATACCTGTGTGTGAGTTATTGCATGCTTGGACATGTGAGCATATGTCTACGAATGTCCACGTGCCTGTGTATATACACTCCTGGGCATGGGTACCCACATGTGCATTTTATGTGCTTGTGTGTGTGTGCATTTGTGATCACACGCATGTACCCATATGCACAGGTACGTGTGCTTCAGTGGCAATGTCCGCAGGTGCATTTGTGTGCCATGTGGGAGTATGTGTGCACATTGATGTCCATGTGCCCCTGCGCGTGTGCACATGTGTATGTGAACACATCAGTGCACACATGCATATGGATGTGGGTGCGTAGTCTGTGTGTAGCTCAGGCCCTGGGTTTCCCCTTCCACAGCACCCTGCCCAGCCGCCCCCCTGCCGCCTGCTCCCCAGCTCCAGCCAGGCTCACCAGAGTCCGACTCGTCGGGGCTCACGGAGCTGAGCAGGTCCTTCTCCTTCTCGTAGTCACCCTTGCACAGCAGCTGGCCCTCCTTGAGCACGAACTCATCGCCCTTGCGTAGCTGCCGCTCACAAACACAGCAGCAGAAGCAGCCCAGGTGGTACACGCATTCCAGTGCCCGCATCACAAACTCCGTGGGGGCAATCTTCTCCATGCAGCCGCTGCACTTGGCCGCGAAGAGCCTGTGGGTGCGCAGAGTGGGCACATTAGCTGGGCTCAGGCTCCCTCCCAGAGGCCACTGCCTATTGAGAACCTCTCCCTCCCATCACCCTGACCCCTCCCTGGGCACAGAGCAATTGGGGGAGGGCCCGGTAGCCCTACTCTTCTGGCTCGCAGGGCCTGGTGGCCTCAGGGTGGACATTGGACATCCTGCCCAGAGGTGCCCTCGTGTGTGGGTCTGCTCAGGGCCCTTCCTGCGCAGAGGTACAGTGGCCACTAGAGGGCAGAGTACAAGGTTAGCCTCAACCTTTCCCAGAACCAGGCAGGCCCCTGCCCTGAGGGGAAGGGCAGGCAGCCCCTGGGTCTAACCACCCTCACTCCAGGACCCGCTCTGCCTCCTCCCTGCCCCTCCAGCACCCCCACATGCAAGCAATCCCCACCATGTTCAACCTACCACCCAGCATGGGCCCCTCCTCTCCTTTCTGAGTGACTGTCCCAGTCCCCTCCCTGGGCTCCTGGCCCCAACAACCCTTTGTCTTCCAGGATGAGAGCCAGAAAGATCTGCCTAAAATATACCAGGTCATGTTGCTTCCCTGGACTAGACTCTTCCATGGCTCCCTAGTGCCCTTAGGAGAACATCAGGTTCCTGAGGCTGGCACTCATGGCCCTTGGCGATCCTGCCTCTTCTCTCGTCCCCTCTGCTCCCCCAGGCTGTGCCCCACGGAACAGTCTGTAGTTTCTCCAGACCACCCTAACACTGGCCTTTCTTCCTCTGGCCCTGGGCTTGGCTAACACCTGGTCAGTTTAAGCATCGCTACCATGAAGAGATGCATTTACTGAGCGTGTATGGCACGCCAGCCGCTGTTTTGAGCACTCTGCCTGCACAAACACTTAACCCTTGAGGCCACCCTGTAAGGCAGGAAGGAATATTAATCCCATTTTAGAGATTAGGAAATCGAGGTGCTGAGAGGTGGAGTCACTTGCTCAGAGTCACACAGGTGGTAAGTGATGGAGCCGACTCTGAGCCTGGACCTAATCTGGTCCCTCCGTGACAAAGTGGACTCATCGTCCCTCTCGGGGTACAAAGCCAGGCGGGGGCTCCAGCCTCTGGCCAGCGTGTACGGAAGGGTCCGAGCAGCACGGCCCCTCCTCTGCCCACACCGACTGACCGCTTCTTCTGGCCGCCCATCCCTGACATGTGCCCTGCTCTGTGGGAACTCAGCCTCAACAACACTTTGATGGAAAAATTTATGAAGAATCAAATTATTGCTGCTGGGAGGGAATTAAAACCATTTTTCATTCCCCGCGTCCCCGGGCCACGTCTGTGGGCGCCACCTTGGGAGCGCTGTGCACATGCCATCCCTCTTTATGGCTCGCCATCACAGGCACAGATTACAGCTGCAGTCTCTGCTAATCGGTTCTGGAACGGCCATAAACGCGAGGCATTCGGCCTCCTCCCTTCCCGGGGCTCATCCGCACCGCCCACAGTGAGCCGGGAGGTGCAGTGGACCGGGCCCGTCCGCGTTCTGCTGCTGCCCCTGGCACCGGCCAGGGCACTCAAACCGGGGGCATCCCCGGCAACCCTGCTGCCCTCTCTATTCTACCCCACAGGCTCCTACTCATCCTGCAATGCCCAACTGCAGCGCCACTTCCTCTGGGAAGCCTGCCTTGATGGCCCAGTCCTGGGAAGATGGCCTCCTTTATGCTCACCTGAGCTTCTCTGGCCTCAGTTCCTTCTGCCATGAAACGGGGTGTCAACAGGACATCCCTCCAAGGGCTGTTGTCAGAACTCAGTGATACCGGCCGAGCATGTAATGCTGTGAGCGCAGATCACATCTGAGTGGCAGCACGTGCCCCTGTCAGCCCTCCAGGGGTTCCACAGGCAGGACCTCACTGCACCTGAGCCTCGGGGAGGCCTCGAGAGTGTTTATGAAGGGGGAGTGGAGGTTTGGGGTGGCAGAGGCTCAGGCCAGGCTGTGCTCCAGGCAGACAGGGATCCCCTGTGTGTGACTTTGCAAGAAGAACCTGAGCTGGATTTGGGCTCTAATTTGGCCCTGTGGCTGGATACCTTCGTTCAGGGTACAACCCACCCAACTGTGCACGGCAGCCTCAGGCAGAGGCCCCATCCAGCTCTGCCAGGGGCCGGGGGAGGAGCCAGGTGTGCAGAACCCGCTGCTCTGACGTGGAGGACACTTCTGTCCTGCCCCCGCACTCTCCCTCTGTCCCCTCCCCACACTCCACCTCCTGTCCTGGGGGCCCCATTACGATCCGCAGCCAGCCTCTGTGGCTTGTGGACAGAGATGTGGCCAGCAGGGCAGGGCCGGGGTCTCCGGCAGAGGTCAGCACACCTTGGGAGGCTCCCCAGAGGACGCCTTAGGCTGGGGGAGGGAGCAGCAGGGCGGGTGACCCGCATTTGCAGACACTGCCACCGTGCAGGCTGCATTCAGAGCAGCCCCGCTAATGCCTTGGCAGCAGGGGGTCGATTGCTACTTTCTCCAAACTCATCAACACAATCTATTATTAATACTTCTCCAAAGGCTCAGCGCCGCCATTACAGAGGCAGCGCCAGCCACTCGGGGCATCATCTGTTATCTAGATTGCAAAAACTCGGGAAATAAAACAAACTGCGCACACTTTATAAACGGAATGTGCCATCCGTTTGGTCTCTGAGCATCTCTCCTCCCAATAAAACATCAGGGGGGACACATGAAATACTCACTCCCAATTATGGGGTGCCTTTGTCTACCGTGCAGGGGTGAGAGCTGCTAACAGCATGCGTGGGAGGGTTGGGGCACCAGCAGGGTCCCCTCCTCTCCATGAGCCCCTCCCTCCATGGACGGATTGGTGGAAGGAGCCACCCAGGAGCAGACCCAGCCACAGGAGGGTAGCACAGGCATCAGATGGACTCAGACTCAGTGCCTGATTCCACCACTCTGGTTGCTGACCGGGCAAGTAATTTCCTATCTCTGAGCCTCAGCTTACGTATCTGTATAATGGGCTCAACAACACTGCCTGCTGCTCAGTGTGAGGATGCAGTAAACTGTCAGCATAAAGCCGAGCACAGAGGGAATGGTCAGTGGGCTGGGGCTGGCTTTCTGAGGCCAGGAGCAAGCCTCTCCAGGGATGCTGCGGATACTGCAAAGCCGGGGAGGCGGTCAGGATGGAAGGCCTTCCTGCTCCCTTCCCCTCCTGCCCCCAGGGGTTTTGGCCTGGTGTGAAAGGCGCTGGAGAGGTGCCGATCTCAGTCCTGACTCAGCCGCTCATCAGCTCCATTGACTCTGTGACCTTGGGCAAGTCAGAGTCTCAGTTTCCTCTTCTGTAAGATGGGGACAATTCCACTCCGAACTGTGCTAGGAATTCCAGGTGTGTGTGTCCCTGCTGCCCACACTGGGGCTGGGGGGCTGGGAGGCAGAGACGGTGGGGTGCCCCAGGAGGAGCTGCCTGTGGCTCCCCCACTAGCTGCCTGCCCTCTCAGTGCCCCCCTCACGCACCCAGTCCAGAAAGCCCAAATCTAGAGGGCAGCTTTGTGACCACGGCACAAGCACATCGGCTTGCTGGTAACCCGTATAACTCTGCCAAGCCCTCCCTCGTGCTCCCCACGCCCAGATCACCTTTCCCTCGACTCCCCATCTCTGCCCCCAAGCCCCTGCTGGGGCACCCCTTCTTCCAGGAAGCCCCTCTCCTCTCCAGCCTTAGAAAATGCCTCCCTCTCTCCCTCTCTGTGTTCCTTATCCTCACTCTCCCACACACTGTGGCACTTATACTAGGGACTTGCTTTACACATTTCCAGGCCCACCTCCCCTCTGGTACCCTCTGTATCCCTGGGGAGGCAGTGCCACCTGGGAGGGGAGCAGTCTGCAGGGCTGGGGGAGGGGCCGGGCGCTGGAGCAGGCAGCCTGGGGTTCCATCCTGGCTCCCTCACTTTTTTGCTGTGTGACTTTGGTCAAGACATTTAACGTCTCTGAGCCTCAATTTCTTCATCTGTAGAATGGGAACGATGATACCTACCTATGGGGTTGTTGGAAGGGCCAACACAGTGCTAAGGACACTACAGGAGCTGGTGTCTGCCCTTCTCTTGTCCCACACGTGTCCAACATGCCTTTGTTGATCCCCCTCACTGGGGTCTGAGACTCCAGAGAGAAGCCTCCCTGACACTGGGTTTACAGGTCCTAGCCATGGTCCCCTCTCCCAGCACCCTGGGCTCTAGATCAGGCCTCCTAGCTTCTGTGCGGCCTGAGCAGGACAGCACTCCCGGCTCAGTTCTGTGTCGTTAACATTACTGAGCACTGATCAAGCGCAATTACCATCTACCTGCACAGCCTCAGCAAACCCAGAACCCTAAAAGGAAGACTGCTTCCCTCCCCATTTTGCAGATGAGCACACCAAGGTGCCGAGGGCAGGTTACTCGTTCCAGGTCACACGCAGCAGCACCGTCACTGCGTATACCCGCCCCCCCCCCACCCTGCCCTGGGCATCCACGAGTTTCTCCGCTGGTCAGTCACCTTGCCCCGTGGTCTGAGCACCACACCCACGTCTGTCTGCCCTCAAGGCCCGGAACATCGTGGGCAGGGGCCTGGTTCACCCTGAGTTCTCATTACTCAGTGTGAGCCCAGTACCCAGTAGGTGTTTGAATTTTTCTTAAACGAAACTGAACATCTTTGCCTCACAAACAGCCCCCCGCACCAATCATCTGTGCTTAGGGAGCAAAAATCCTCCTTTTAGGGACGTCCTACTCTGGGAGAGTCCCAGGCTGTAACCTATCTCCATCTCTTCTGAGTTTTTGTTGCTTATTTATTTAATGCTCAATGTATTAAACTCATTGAGCTAGTAAACAAAACTCCAAAACCAATTTTTTCTGGAGCATTTGAACAGGGAGTACCCATCTGATCAATTCATTTCTCTTAAACCGTTGACAGCTGCAGAGATGCACACAGTATGGCTGATTCTTTCATCTCTGATCAAACTGGTTTCCTAACAACTGGGGGGGACTCGGCCTCTCCTCAGGGGTCTTCACGCCCATATC